ATATTTATTTACTATTATAAAAAAACACATATAATTTTTTTTCTAATTTATTAATCATTTATCATATTATACTTACAAAATTGACTTACATAAACAATATTTATTCGATTGCACACCTTCGTTAATACCATTATAATTTGATGTATTGTAATATCTAACTATTTTCTATAGTACCTAATAGGATGTTGAATAATTTGTAACTTGTGTTATTATTATTGTTTTCCTTATACTATCAAAATATTATAGATAGGCTGAACTTAAAATATAGTTTCTAACCAAACTTTCTAATCGTATGTCAAACCGAACTTTTTCATCGTATCTCAAACTGAACTCTGACCGAACTTTTTCACCGTATTTCAAGTCGAACTCTAACAATTCAGTGTGATGTTGCGAACTTGAACCGATATTCCATTTAAAGTCAAACTGTTCCTGTAACAAATATTTCATTTAAAGCCGAACTGAACCCCTACCGAGCTTTTTAAGTAAATGTTGAATTAATGACTTTTTAGTTTTATGTTAAACTAAAATAACCAATTTAATACTATACCTATTGAAGTTTTAATTTAATATTTAACTATTTATAGCCTTATTGTCTATTGGTATTATAACTTAAATCTATCAACTACTAATCGATTTATTCAAATAATACGGGTGTATTTTTCGTCGATAAAATAGACAAAACCTATACAAAATACAAATTAAAAAATAAACTCAAATTTTTTGCAGGAGTTACTGCTCGGGATAAGGCTTGGTTTAATTTATTACCATCAACGCTGTGAACGATCAACTAGTATATAATATTATGTCATAAACTCATAAATATTTAATATTTATATAAATCCACACAGGCGTATTGAAATAAATAAATTACAGATTGTTTGTTTTTTTAAATAAAGTGTGAAAAAAAGTAAATATTGTATATAATTGTAAAGGTGAGTTGATATGTTTCTATATTTTACCTATGTAACTAAATATTTCAAATCGTAGGTACCTATAGCTGCAGGTTGGCATAGATGGCGATAAGTCAAATTTGGCAGTACTTAATAGTCACATTACATTCGACATTGGTACATAACATATTCAACGGTACGTAAGTCACATATCACATTGAACCTGCAGTCTCAAAATGAGTGTCTATGCGCCCTATAACCGATCACTTCTAAGTGTTCCGTGTTAGCTGTTACAACTCATAAGTGCAGGTCCCGGGAATATGGGTGAGCTCGGGTGGGGCTGGCGACGTGACGTACACCAACGTTATGCACACACAGATCACACATATTACTGGTGTGCTAAGCTCAATCCAAATAATAAGATGCGGTCTCAGTGCCACTAGGTGTTATTCAGATGTTTAGCACAAAACTGGTATACTAATTGTATCGACACTAAGATAATACAATATTATTATGTACGCGAACGACACGCGTGCGAACTGGCATGCCGACAAGACGAGGACGTCGGGGACCGCTGCACGTGTCGTGCGACCGCGACGATTCGCCGACGCCGAGTTTCTGTGGAACGCCGCGGATGACTGATGAGACGACCTTGTCGCGAGCGCGCGTGCCGCCGCGTCGTGAACGCACTAGGTATTATACACATGTCGCCGTCGTTATTCAATTATCGTGGTGATAGCTCACACGGAGACGGGAATCGAATTACGGTGCTGGGAATAAGTGGGCGCGACGTGCTGGATAATGTAATGCGCCCCGTTGTACCGTACACGCACGACTATAATAATAGTACATAATTGTACGAATTCAATTCAGACTTCGAAGTGTTGTTTCAAAGTATATAAACATTTGGTATGACGGGCAGTTTGTAACACAGACATTATGTGGACAAATGACTACACGATTCGGAACGGCGACAATATGCACACATTTATCGTTGGACACGTCTTACAGGTGTTAGAATCTGCAACCACCCATTCGCGTTAAACGACGAGAGACATTTTCAAACCATTTCCGTCCCAAACAGCATATCCAAATGATTATTCATACATTGGTTTGAAAGACCAACATTTTCATCGTTATTAGTATTATAATACTTAGATCTAACGACATCTGTAAAACGTGAACTCGACACAACCAATATTATACACATTTCGACGATGTATATTGCACACACCTTATGACCGGCGTCGTCATTGCTTTCTATACGAGACATATCACCCATATCGGTAGAACATTTTACACGATTCTTTCGGCGGCAAGAAGTGTTAATACCTACAGATCATAACTATAACGAAATTATTTCACGGTGAAGAACAAACGAATTTGTTATGATTTTCGACTGATGGAATTACAGCGGGCGGTATAAGAACGACGCGATGATGGAGCTCACACTGCGAAGCTTTTTTTTTTTCTCGAGACTATCAGAAAAACGCGTTTGTTCGCCAATCGGTTTACCGACGTACACTGCTAATGTAAAAAAAAAAAAAAGATACACGATTATATTATTATCATTATTATAATTTCACATGCACGCGTGATGCACTTTTGCTGCATTGGCGATTGCTGCTCCGGCTTTGCGGTGTATACAAACGCTGTCCGGCGAGTACAATACTATATTATATAATAATAATATGTCACACACGTGCACCGTGTAGACACACGCATATTTGTATATTATAATAATATTCTCGGCCAGACAAACGCTGCCGACGCACACGTGGTGTTTTGGTCCAGTGTCGACCAGCCACCGCGAACACGCTGCACCTACGCACACACAAACACACACGCTCGGTCGGCTACCCACGCGCACCGCGAACCGTCTGATATTATAAATTATTGCGAACGGTTTTCGTTATAATGATATCGTCGTGTTTACGATAATCATTCTATTATTATTTGCGGTCTGTCGTATACCGCGGTACAGGAAATCTGTTCTGCGGCCAAGGAGGGGGGGGGGAGAGGCGTATTGTATACCATTATTATGTACACGGCGATTAACGAGAGATCGATCGAAAAAGCAGCAGCAGCAGCAGCAGCAGAAGACGTATTAAATAATATTGTCATTAAGAGTTGAGACGACGACGGCACGATTGTGAACGGTGATGGATGATGCGATGGTTAAAATAATGTCATCTTATATAACATTATAATACTGGACGTGACTGCTGCACATAAGGATCAACTTGAAACGGCAAACTCGAATAGTTTTCAACACCTGAAGCTTGTCTATAAGATTATTAGTAGATATAAGTTTTTGTTATTGGAAAAAAAAAGATTAGAGTAAAACCACGCACATTTTGTGGTTGACATTACGACGACATTAGATATTCCCAAACTCGCAATATGTTTAATGTAGGTAATAACGATAACGATTTGTCCTCAAAATGTTTTGTTATAGTTCTAAAAATGTTAGTCGCAGAAACTTGTAACATTTCACTATTACTGAAATTATCATTTTAGATACACAACGGAATTTCCAAAATAATTATAGTTGTATTTATCTTGAAATTAGCCGAGATTATTTTAGATTTTTTTTCTGTACAAATACAAACAATTTGATATTTGCTCAAATAACTTGAAAAATTAAAACTACCAGATTCTTCATGAGTTGTAGTTATAGTAATTATACTAATAGTTTAAACTATTGAAAATAGGTCACTTCTATTTTCAATATGCTTTTGAAGTTCAAAATTATTTTTACTCAAAAATGTGTTCGTTTGAAATGATTTATAATTGAATTTAAGTTTAATGCATATATCAGGAACTTAAATGACGAACTGAGAATCTAAGTGGTATATTCAACACTTAGAAATAAGTAAGAAATGTTTTGGTATTGACGAATATGGAGGGCATATACAGCCTCCACGAAGTTTCTCGTTTTTGTCGATATCACATGGGAATCCAGCTACCCGTCCCCCAAATTGATCTATTTGTGCCTATGTATGACATGGTTATAGAGCAGTTCTATTATACCTTGAACATTGTTTTTCAAACTATGGGTGGTCTTGAGGTATCAATATAATATAATTGTTCATATTTATTATTTTCATATGTCTATAAAGAAAATAAATCATAGACATTCATGCATTTAATAATATGTATATGGAATGAGATCACGATTTTTTATTTCTTTGAATAGATTCATGTCAAAGGCAACTACAAATACTACAAATAATAAAAAAAAACAAACATATAGATCATGTCATATTTTTAATTGTGTATTTATAATTTATAAGTACTTGATTTGAGTTTTTTTTAAATTGTTCAGCAATTTCGTACATATATAGCAAAGATCGAAGATGTTGAAAAAAGTTAGCTACTTAGTTCGATTACATTATAAATTCAAGAGACTGCGCGGCCTAAGATGTTGAGAAACACTGCACACTAACAAGAACCATCATAATATAGATAATATTAATATATTGATAAAAATCAATGACGGTGATTATAATGTTATCGACTATCAAGTGTATGATGACTAAACAAGCTCGTTTGCGATTCGGTCGTAATAATTATTTATATTTTGGTTTTGGGTAATTAAAAAAAATAAAAAATTTTTTACTCGAATAAAAATAATATATTAATTAATATATTATTTTTATTCGAGTCGAAATATTTTTTTAAATTAGCTTTCAGCATATTATTATAAGTTATTTCAGCTCGGAGTAGAAATTATATTATTATATTGTGTATCAATCGTATGTTATATTAGTTTTGTCCCTGGTACCAATCTCTGGTACTATCTGGTACTATTATAATATAATAATAATTAAAAAAAAAAAAAAAATAATAATAATAATAATAATATTATTATAATATTATGTAATAATACAATATTTAAAAAAACCTCACCGATCGGGGGACCACCGCCGCCGCCGCCGTATGCGATACCTGCAACCCTTTATGCGTGCGGGTCGCGGGGAGTGTTCGGGCGCAAGCGCACACCGCTACCACTATCACGGCTGCCCTGCCGCTCCAGCCGTCCCACCACCACCCCACCACCCACCGGTTACCGGCCGTGCGATGCCGACAACTGCGACTCGCGGTAGTAGCACTCGAGACGTCGCCGTAAACCGCTCCGCACCCGCGAGGACACACTCGCGTTCGCGCGCGAATTTTTCTCGTCGCGACCGCCCTACGCGCAACGCAGGCACAACCGCGGCACGACGCGATTTACGTCTGTTTTCTGTTATCTCCGGTGTGAGACGTTATTACGATCGAGTCGACGACCAAACATTCGGGCCACGGATCTACTAAACATATTATAATAATATTGTACATAAATCGCGATCGTTGCGATCCGTTTTAAACGCGCTTTCACAGAGTGCGGATTTCGTTTGACAGTGCCGCGACGACGCTGAGGACGAAAAGTGAATACCATAAATTATATCATCTGCGACAGCGGCGGCGGAGACGTCGGCGGGAATTTTCGATCTCACAACAATATTGGTCACTGAAATTAAACACATCTAGCTGGTGGTATGTATACCTGCCTCATGTAATAATATATACGTATACCTCAAATATACAAATATAACTGCAATTGTATCATTTTAATATAATATTATATTATACTTCACACTGTATTCGGTTTGTAATTATTTATTAATAATTGTATAACACATAACAACATCAATGCGCGTGGTTAATATGCCTAATGTTAGGTATCCAATATAATATAGTGTAATGTCACGGAGGAGAACGACGAAACGTCGCTGCAGCAGGCGGACTACAGCGAATAATAGGCATCATTATGAAATCATGATTTACGAAATAACATAGGTAGGTGGGCACCAAGAGCTTTAAAGCACAGTCGTGGGCTCAATAAATCGTGAAGACACTAGGTCGAGTATTAGACCATGAAACAATTATACTATACAGTTAGACGGATGTTATATAGATGACGGACCGGAATAACGTTTGAGAGAAATTATACGCATCGGCGATATACGACACGCGTGTACAACCGGCCGATGTGTATTACATATGATATGGTTAAACGTTATTTCGGGGCGGCGGCGAGGCACTGCAACCGCGGTGTGGCGAAACAATACGATTAAAAAACGAAATAATGCGCGAACGCCTCCCCCCCCGTACCCTTCACACAACCATCCGTCGACGACGACGTCCCTCCGCTGAGATATATTATTATATAGCACAGGAAGCAGGGTTATTTTTTTTTTTTTTACGAGTGGCGGAACATAGTGGGCACGATTTGCATAATTCCGAGATTTTAAGTTGCTGTTTTTAACTCGTAAAAATCTGGCAAAACCGAAGGATCGAGAGTCTCAAATTAATATCGAGGGAAATCGAGCAATCCAGAATAGTTAAGCTATAAATTGTTCATTGAATAAATTTGGTTTTGAGTTATGATATAGCTGGTGTAATATAACGTCTTGTTATTGCCACTATAGGAATTTGTTTGATGCACGAATAACTGAGCGTCGGATTCATTCTAGTAGGTACTTGCCTATGTAATAATAAATTAATACGCCACCGATTCGTGACGGTAGCTATTACCGCTTGACGTCCTATATACTTATTAGTACCAACTATACAAAGTCGCATATCAATTTCCCTCAACCTGACAAACTCAACCCAGCCTCCCCCCCCCCCATCATTGCAATCAAATGTTATAATTTTTATAAAAAAAGTATAATAAATAGTTAAACACATTAAATTATATAAAACTTAAAAAATGTAAAATATGTAAGTAGGTACTAAAACATTGTAAAGATGGAGTATCAGTAATTAAAAAAAAATTGTATACAATATTTACGACTTAATCGACTATAGAATGCTGCCCGATGGTGGCTATTAAAGTTGACTAACATTGACTTTTATTAACTTATGATTCATGTGTAACTCTCGTTAGTATCTATTTGTTTAATTACATATTTTAACATGTAGAATGTAGATAGTAGACACAATTAAAATAAAATTAGTAGTCTATTTGCACGCGTGTGCATATAACACCCGTCGCGCCGTAGTTTGTTTAGAAAAAGACATATTTTTTTTTTAATATTAATATTTACAGCATAAGGAAGACAATAAGCTTCGATGAACATACGGAGTGAGGGGAGTAGGAGCAAATTAAATCTAATCCAATAAACTTCAAATGCCTGTATAATTCTATCCATATAATAAGCCATTCAATTCTTATGGGCGAATACACTAATACATAAATACTAAGTACCTATAGTTCTGTTAAACTGTGTATGCATATATGTTAACTTATACAAACCAAGAAAAAAATTTGCAATTGGTTTATAACTGATACCATTGAGTAGGTATATAGATATAGTCAATGATTCCATATAATATATAAATAAGTTTGTCCTCTATATTGAACATTTTGTTTATGTACTGATAGGTACAACGTTTCATTTAATTTTTTAATCATAATGTCTTATATTTATATTATGATACATAAATACATAATAGTATAATATTTTGAAGAATATCCGCATAGATTCTAGTTTTTCAAGTACTTACTTGAGTTACTTGTTTTACAATACATAATATATTAAGTGGGTTTGTATTTTTTTAATTGGTAATTAATTTTTTTTTAAAATAATATTGTCACTTTGATTGTTTATTTTGTGTAAACGTCTTCTTATTTTTTTTTCTTAAAATCTGATTAAAAAAATTAAAACTTTAAACTATGAACTAATAATATACGTACATACATACACATAGGTAAAAGATTTTTTATTAAATTTCAACTTTTAATTTTAATTATAATATGGAGACATATTATCATTTGTAAAACAAGATTTGATTTCTACTTCAAGCCCATCGATCAAAATGTATACATGTTTAATATACGTTTATCTGCTGATAAAATATCTACCCATATGTAATATTTTTGTACTCAATATTTGGAGGGCTTTCGCAAATTATCTGATATTAGGAGTTATTAGTTATTTTAATGAGAAGAGTTGTTGCAGGAAGTGGATAGACACTTGAAGAAAAGTTTTATTATTGGAGGTTTCACTGTGATCATTATTGTCCTTAGTATGCAAGTATATAAGTTTACATATCATACAAATTACCTAAGCAATATTTGTCTAACAACAACAAAAATTCCTTGAGGTTAAAAATTATAGTTACTTATGATTGATAAATGTGAAAAAAAACTGCTCTAAAAATATATACCTGGTACGAAATGATATTCACATGTACGGCAGTACAGGTGATGTGTTTAAAACAAAATACATATACGGCATATAGTATACCCGCGGTGTCCCTCCCACCCCGCCGTTCGACTTCAAGTGTACGGATTTTTAGTGTTTCGTCGTCCGCACCGCTACATTTGTTAAAACACGGTGTCGCCATCGTCGTCACGCGCGACGCATCTCGATATTTACGACGTCGGTTGCGTAATATATTATTACAATAATATTATAGCATATTAACGTACATATCGCGTCCTCCAAGCATTAAAATAATGTTTTTTATTATATACACTTGAAATACAAACAAATTAAATATATTAATATATTGTACATGACTACATGAGTCAGATACTTTATACGCGTGCATATGGTTGTGTGGAGCCTCGTACGTTAGGTCTTCAAACGATGACTTCCAGAAAACGTTTGTCGAGCGTCAGAATTTTCCAGTGTCACACACAAAGTACAAACCTTAAATATTATTATACAGGGTGATTCTTCAAGCGTCATCATACATTTTTAATCTAATAATGAATATTTCAGAATTATTCTGATTTTAAGGTATAATAAATCTGATACCTATAGGTATTTAAGAACATATTTTTTAATTCTTCAGATTTTTTGTGTTTCACGGTGATAAAAACTTCTGTTTTTTAAGTAAGAACACCCTTTTTTACTGAAAATAATTTAATGGATAATGTTTTTGAACATTTTGTTATACCTAATTCGGAATTTGATTATTAAAATGTATGTATTAAGAAAAAAATAGTCGTTAAAAATGGCCATTTTTAAAAAACTTCATAAAGTACATTTATAGATTAACGACAATTTCTAAAAATTTTTAATTGACCTTAGCGCTCATTATTATCTTCCAAAATATTCAAAAATGTTCAGGAAAATTATCCACTAAATAATTATAAGGGGATATAAAACGGAGAAAGGGGTTGTTTGAAAAACAGAAGTTTGTTTCTACACAGGGCAATCCTGCAGCTTAAGTAGCCCTTAAGTGGGTATATATTTTAAAATTCCGAAATCCAGATTTCGAATAACTACTACAGCATTGCATCTTCGAAGAAGAAAAAAAGGGATGAGAATGCTCGGTGAATCACCCTGTATAGCCGTACTAATATTATGTGTATATATATTAGAATATTAAACTGCTCTTTCGTCGTCGTCGTCGTCGTACAACAACAATAATAGTAATAATAATAACCATATAATACGCGTATTTTATTCGGTCGTTTGTTTTTCTCGTGCTCGCGAGCGCGTGTGTATTATGGCTGGCAGTGACAGTGCCCATACATATATATACACACACACACACACACACACACATATATACACATATTATATACATATTATATTATCGTATAGATGTATATATACCTCGCGCAGTCGGCCGCGGCCCGTTATCGGCTCAAGAGATCTCGTCGCTGCGTCATCTCACCACCGCCGGACACCATACCATACTCCGGTATACGGTCGTCGTCGTCGTCGTCGTCGTCGGTAACCGCGCGTGCCCCACTCACACTCACACACACACACACACGGGGGCACATAAATATATTATAATAATATATATAACGTACACGCGCGAGCGGGCTTATCGAGTCGTTTACACGCGTGTATATATGTCGTAAGTATACATATTATATTATGTGTGTACTGTGTATACGAACAATCCGACTTACGAGTGTATATTGTGGATGTGTGTGTGTGTAATATGCATGATAATATTTATATACAACGACTCACGGCAGACACGCGGGTTTGCAATATATTATCACGGCGACGTACATAATAGTGTGCTGTATATACATATTATATATATATATGTGTGTGTGTGTGTGTGTGTGTGTGTGTGTGTGTGTGTGAGTGTGTGTGAGTGTGTGTGTGTGAGTAGGTAATATCGCTAGCCGTCTGCAGCGCGCGCGCGTTTAAATCTCTCCGCGTACCTATGTACAGCAAAGTACACGACGTCCATATTCCGCTGCGGTCGTCTCGGTTTTTACTTTTTACCCCGTTCTGTCGTATTATACCGTAGGTACGTATACCTATATGATTTAGTCGGGTGAAATCGTCATAAATTAAAACGATATTATTTGCAATATCGCTTATATTGTGCATCGTACTATGTAGGTATAGGTATAGATAGACACTACGATTATTATTATATTTATGTTATATCGTTGCCGTCGTGTATTATAATGTAAAATAGTATATATAGTTTATATACAGCTGATACAGTACTGATACATATATATTGTACATTATGCGAATACGTCGCGGGCGTTCACGATTTCT